ATCAAGAAGAAATAATGTGTTTTCAATCTCTAGACTATGTTGCTTTCAATGAAAATCTTAGAAAAAGGGTTCCTACCAATGTTTTAGTTGATAGAATTTCTGAACTTAATGATGATTTAGCTATTCGAGATAATGAATTGGGATATTCTCTTGAATATAGGCTCACAAAGTTCTGTCAAAAGAATGCTTATAATGATGAATTGGTTGTGCAATATGAAGGACCAAAGGAGGAACCTATGCCTCCCAAGGTTGATCTTGGAGACTTTTGTCCCAACAAATTTAGCCCTTTTGATTACTTTTGCTTGCCTCAAAGAAAACTTGCTGCTAAACGTAGAGAATATGAAATGAGTTTTAACAATCTATCTTACTATTATGGCAATACCTAGATCTATTCTTGCTTGTTATGTCTAACTAGGGGCGTTAAACGATAGCGCTTGTTGGGAGGCAACCCAATTTTATTTTATTCCTTACTTTTTGCTCCTGTTTAGTAATAAATAAATTATCTAGCCTCTGTTTTGGTTGTGTTTTTTGTGTTTAATTAGTGTTTGTGCCAAGTAGAACCGTTGGGAAGACTTGGGAAAAGTCTTGTTGAACTTGCTGTAAAAAACAGAAACTTTAGCGCTCACGAGAACTGCTGTCATTTTTATTTGAAAAGTGCTATTTAGTTAATTATTTTTGCAGTTGATTAATATATAAATTCGTCACGTCCATCAATTTATTTTAGAATTTTTGGGGTACCAGATCTTGCGCTAGCTACAGATTACTACAGACTGTTCTGTTTTTGACAAATTCTGTTTTTCGTGTGTTGTTTGTTTATTTTGATGAATCTATGGCTAGTAAAATAGTTTATAATCCATAGAGAAGTTGGAATACAGTAGGTTTAACACCAATATAAATAAATAATGAGTTCATTACAGTACTTTGAAGTGATCTTTTGTTTTCTTTCGCTAACGGAGCTCATGAGTTTTCTACCTTAAGTTTTGTGTTGTGAAGTTTTCAAGTTTTAGGTAAAGATTTAATGGATTATGGAACAAGGAGTGGCAAGAGCCTAATCTTGGGGATGCCCATGGCACCCCCAAGATAATCGAAGGATACCTAAAAGCCAAAGCTTGGGGATGCCCCGGAAGGCATCCCCTCTTTCGTCTACTTCTATCGGTAACTTTACTTGGAGCTATATTTTTATTCACCACATGATATGTGTTTTGCTTGAAGCGTCTTTTATGATTTGAGTCTTTGCTTATTAGTTTACCACAATCATCCTTACTGTACACACCTTTTGAGAGAGCCATACATGATTTGGAATTCGATAGAATACTTTGTGTACTTCACTTATATCTTTTGAGCTTTATAGTTTTGCTCTGGTGCTTCACTTATATCTTTTAGAGCACGGTGGTGAATTTGTTTTATAGAAACTATTGATCTCTCATGCTTTACTTAGATTATTTTGAGAGTCTTAATAGCATGGTAATTTGCTTAAAATCCTAATATGCTTGGTATGCAAGATTAATAAATAAACTTTCGTATGAGTGTGTTGAATACTAAGAAGAAATTGATGCTTGATAATTGTTTTGAGATATGACGATGGTGATATTAGAGTCATGCTAGTTGAGTAGTTGTGAATTTGAGAAATGCTTGTGTTAAAGTTTGTGATTCCCGTAGCATGCACGTATGGTGAACCGTTATGTGATGAAGTCGGAGTATGATTTATTTATTGATTGTCTTCCTTATGAGTGGCGGTCAGGGATGAGCGATGGTCTTTTCCTACCAATCTATCCCCTAGGAGCATGCGCGTAATACTTTGCTTTGGTAACTTCTAGATTTTTGCAATAAGTATATGAGTTCTTTATGACTAATGTTGAGTCCATGGATTATACGCACTTTCCTTCCTTCCACCATTGCTAGCCTCTCTAATACCGCGCACTTCTCGCCGGTATTATACACCCACCAAATACCTTCCTCAAAACAGCCACCATACCTACCTATCATGGCATTTCCATAGCCATTCCGAGATATATTGCCATGCAACTTTCCACCATTCCGTTCATTATGACACGCTCCATCACTGTCATATTGCTAGCATGATCATGTAGTTGACATCGTATTTGTGGCAAAGCCATCGTTCATAATTCTTTCATACATGTCACTCTTGATTCATTGCACATCCTGGTACACCGCCGGAGACATTCATATAGAGTCATATTTTGTTCTAAGAATCAAGTTATAATTCATGAGTTGTAAGTAAATAAAAGTGTGATGATCATCATTATTAGAGCATTGTCCCAGTGAGGAAAGGATGATGGAGACTATGATTCCCCCACAAGTCGGGATGAGACTCCGGACAAAAAAAAAGGCCATAAAAAAAGGAGAAAGGCCCAAATAAAAAATGAGAGAAAAAGAGAGGAGGGACAATGTTACTATCCTTTTACCACACTTGTGTTTCAAAGTAGCACCATGATCTTCATGATAGAGAGTCTCTCATTATGTCATTTTCATATACTAGTGGGAATTTTTCATTATAGAACTTGGCTTGTATATTCCAATGATGGGCTTCCTCAAAATGCCCTAGGTCTTCGTGAGCAAGCGAGTTGGATGCACACCCACTTAGTTTCTTTTGAACTTTCATATACTTATAGCTCTAGTGCATCCGTTGCATGGAAATCCCTACTCACTCACATTGATATCTATTGATGGGCATCTCCATAGCCTGTTGATACGCTTAGTTGATGTGAGACTATCTTCTCCCTTTTTGTCTTCTCCACAACCACCATTCTATTCCACCTATAGTGTTATATCCATGGCTCACGCTCATGTATTGCGTGAAGATCAAAAAAGTTTTGAAAATGTCAAAAGTATGAAAAATTGCTTGGCTTGTCATCGGCCTTGTGCATGATTTAAATACTTTGTGTGGTAAAGATAGAGCATAGACAGACTATATGATTTTGTAGGGATAGCTTTCTTTGGCCATGGTATTTTGAGAAGACATAATTGCTTTGTTAGTATACTTGAAGTATTATTATTTTTATATCAATATGAACTTTTGTCTTGAATCTTTTGAATCTGAATATTCATACCACAATTAAGAAGATTTACATTAAAATTATGCCAAGTAGCACTCCTCATCAAAAAATTTGTTTTTATCATTTACCTACTCAAGGACGAGCAGGAATTAAGCTTGGGGATGCTTGATACGTCTCCAACGTATCTATAATTTTTGATTGCTTCATGCTATATTATCTACTGTTTTAGACATTATTGGGCTTTATTTTATACTTTTATATTATTTTAGACATTATTGATGCCTATATACATGATCATACCTAGATATTCTCATAGCTATGCTCAATTCTGTCAATTGCTCAACAGTAATTTGTTTACCCACCGTAGAATACTTATGCTCTTGAGAGAAGCCACTAGTGAAACCTATGGCCCCCGAGTCTCTTTCTCATCATATCAATCTCCATCACTTTAATATTGCTTTGCTTTTACTTTGTTTACTTTGCATCTCTATACCAAAAATACCAAAAAAATATTATTTATCATCTCTATCAGATCTCACTTTCGTAAGTGACCGTGAAGAAATTGGCAACCCCTAAGCGTGTTGGTTGCGTTGAGCTATTGTTTTTGTGTAGGTACAAGGGACTCGAGCATAGCCTCCTACTGGATTGATATCTTGGTTCTCAAAAATTAAGGAAAATACTTACGCTACTTTGCTGCATAGCTGCATCATCCCTTCCTCTTCGGGAAAATCCAACGCAGTGTTCAACGCCTGTTTGATTGCCTGTCCATGTACAATCTATCGTGAATGGCAATCAACCCATCAAGAAACTCGCATAACAGGCCTCTGAGACCGTTTAGCTAGACGAGCTCACCCCGGTCTGTCGACCTCATGCGACATGGCACCGTTGCTCCAAAAGCCCTACCCTGTGCCGGATCTAGCTGACAAACCAACAACTGACTCGGCCCTCCCCGAGAGGCCCAAGTCCGTGGTTGGGTTTGCTTCCTATTCCGAACAGGAACACATAAGAGGTAGCAATGCTCTAGGCAATGCAACCAAAAGATTAATCTAACACAAGAGACTAGGCAATACGTCAACAAGGGCTAAACATGGACCGAAAGTGGACTTCGATTTAATTGCACCGGCCGGATCTTGAACTCGAGACTTTTTGGCTCTGATACCATGTAGAAGTGCATGCTTTAGCCAATGCAATTAAAAGACCGATCTGATGAAAAAAAAACTAGACAATACATTTATACGTCAACAGTTTCCACAGTTCGTACGGCATGATCGAGACGCATGTAGGCGGTTTAGGATAAGCATTGGTATGCCCTAAAAAGCACTTTTTAGTGAAGTATATTTTACTCACACCACATTTTGGTACCATAGATGCTTTAATGCGCCGCTCTCCCAAAAATAAAGAGATACTCCCTCCGTGTCTAAATGTCTTTATAGGGATTTCACTATGAACCACATACGGATGTATATAGATCCATTTAGAGTGTAGATTCACTCGTTTTGGTCCGTATGTAGTCCATAGTGGAATTTCTATAAAAATATTTAGGAACAGAGGGAGTACAAAGTGTACGGGTGGACCAACAGCACGGAGCAAAAGGCAGCAGTGCCAGTGTTACAGGAACGCATGGATTGAGAGTACAGATTACAATGAAAAAACAAAATCGATGCTACAAGCAAAAAGCAACTAGGCCAAAGCTTGTTCGACAAAAGCACGGCAGGAGATGCAAGCAGAACTATACTGAAGAACAAAATGCATCTGAGAACACATGCGCTGACATGATAACTTTTAAATGCATTTTAGCCAACACCAAACTAAACCTCTAACTAGAATACCAGGTTGCAGAAGACTGAACCTTACGAGTGGGGTTCCTCCAAACACGCACAGGCGATGGTGCACACAAAGGCTCGGGTCCAAGTCAGCTTCCTTGCCTAGCCACTTGGACGATAACAGCCTCCATGCCATATCGTCCTCCTCTCAATCCTGTTGCTACTGCCTGCCCATGCCAAGACCTGGCCCTATCATCTGCCCTTGCATTGCAACCATCACAGCACCTTCGCGCTGCATCTCTTGGATGAGTTGCTCGAGTCGCGGAGTTCGCTGAACCACAAAGCCAAACAATGCTCCTGTAGGAGCAGCCATGTTTGGGTGGTCTTGACAGTGGTTGGCAGACATTGTAGCTGCAGCCGCGGTAGGAGCTTCAGTTGTAGGACTCGGCGCGTTGGGTCCAGCCAACTTGGGATTTTGTTCCTGCTCCATGCCTTGCATCTCCGGTTCCTCAGAAGCTTCAAGTCCAGCTTCCATGTTTAACCCTTCTCCCACACTGAAATGTGAAGCCTGTTGTTTTCCTTTCTCCTGTGCACAGCGTCCTTTGCCATGTTGTTCCTCTTCCACTATTCTGCGTTTAAATACCGCCCACAGGTAGGGTTTTCCTTGGAAAGCTGCAACCAAACAAAGACAAACATGGTAAGTCACTTAACCATTGAGCCAAATATACACAGTAGGGAAAAGCTTAGATAGTGATTCTGGATAATCGAACTATATCTATATCTATTAGATGATTATTAGTACGGCTGTGTATGGGTAGGGTTGCGACTAGAAATCAGGAACATCAATCATACTCTGTTACTAGCATCTTTCCAGAAAGAGAAGAACATACTTTGGTGTTGCTCAGGCAGTAGAATAGATGGCAATATCAGCATCTCAGCTTCACCAACAATAGCTCGTAGGATCATATCATTCTCCACGACTTCTTTAACAAGTTGATCCAGGTCTGCATCTTGCCTAGGGATAGAAACAAAAATGATTAGAATCCAAATGCGCAAAAGATGGTAGGCAAATAAATAGCAAAGGGTAATAAACACACCTCATCTCGGTGGGCAATAAATACAACGCAATGTTGTCATCAGTGGGCCTTGATGCCTCAAAGCTCTTAGGCCAAGCCTCCAGTCTAGAAAGCTTTGTTACTTCAACCACTGGCTCAAGTGATCTTGACAAATTCCACACCTTCTCACAGTATTTGGTTGACAAATGTGCAGCCAACGAAACAAATTTTCCGCTGCCTATCTTAATGCTTCCACTGTTGAATAATAAAACAAAAAATAATATCAGCATATAGGGACAAGCATTTGCAACATGTTAAATTGGAAGAAAAAAAGGCATATGTTCTACCTCCAAATAGGTTCATCGATGGGCAGGGAACAATAGTGATGTGGCTTCGAAGGTTCGGAACCATAATTCTGTGTTTTCAATCCAGCGGCACCACTTTTACTACCAGTGAGATTCTGATCACCATCATCATCGTCTTCATCATCAATTACTACAAATCTACTCTTTTTGTTTGTTTGACTACAATTCTCAGTCCTCTTCCTCTTATTAAACTTGTCATCAACGGTCCTTTCATCCTCCCTGAGGCTAGTGTTCTCACTGTTAAGTTTATTAATGGATTTTTTCAATCTAGCGACCCCACGTGCCTCAAACCTTTTTTCCAACAACGGCTCCATCCTCTTACTCTTAGATTTGTACACATCGGTTCTTCCATGCTCCGAAAGGCTAGACATGCACTTTCTACTATCAAGTCGAATGCACCCGTCGATTGAATCAACCATGCATGATGCCTCGACCGTTTGGTGATTTGAAAGTTTCTTACCAGGTAAATTGATCTCCAAGTTGGGCGAGATATCTTCCATGACTTTTTTACCCTTCAAAGCTGAGTTGGAATTTGTACCTTCCATCGCCATCGGATGGTCTTCTTTTCGTGAGTTCTGAACCATTGAAGAGGGATACAATTTCTTTGAAACACCAAATGTGGAATTTGAACCTGCAGAGAGCTTAGACTTTTCTATGTTCCTTGCCAAAGAAGCGGACACACAATTCAACCCAGAGGATAAGGGCCTAGCTTTCATTGATTGAGGAGCGATCTCATCATTGGGCATTGAGTAAAAGGATCCTGACATCTTTGTATTCTTTGACGGAGGAACTTCAACGTCATTTAACCTTGAGTAAGACTCCACATTCTTTGCCAAATAACCCATGCCATTGTTTGGCCTCGAGCTATTACCACTATTTGACATAAAGGGAGAGGATCTAAACTTGGTAGTATTCTTTTGCAAAGAATCAATGCCATTGTTAGGCATTGCGCTAGGCACTGCGCGAGATGGACTAGCCTTTTGGGTATTCTTTTGGAGAGTCTTAGAGAAAGAGGGCTCAGACTTCTCGACATTTCCCCGTGGTGAAGCCGTACCTTTGTTTGGCCATGAAGAACGTGACGAGACATTTGGACGAGACGCTGCCTTAGCATGGCTAGGCTCATCATACGCCACCCTAAACGACTGCTGAGTTCTCTTAAATTGTTCAAGGCACTTTTTCTTGAGTTTGCCTGGTGCCTTGCTTATGGATGGCTTTCTCAAGTTTGGACCAAAGTACTTGACACTATGTTGTCTTCGACTCCCCATTTTTCTTTGAATAGTCCCTAAAAAATTAAAAAAATGTGTAAAATATACTTTCTAAACAAATAAGAAACTTGTAAACTAACTTTTACAACAAAAACACTTCTATAATAGTGCCAACCTAATGGTAACATAGTTAAGTGGTGAAGGGGGCTACATTATATGAGATCGATAGCACATCAAAAACATTTTGCATGGCCCACAAAAAGTTGCACTTTTTCACAATTGGATTTTTGTGATTCGCACCAATTTGACAAAATGATCTCTATCTAATCTATTCCCGTGACTCACACACAAGGAATGATCTCTATCTAATGACTTCATTTTTTTGGGTTTTTATCATTTATGCCATCGGTTGTGTCCCACTACTCAGTTTTGCCACAAGGAATTTCAACTGCTCAAAAATGCCATCGCTTTGTTAGACACATGTTCAAAAATGCCACTGGGCACCATTATTGTGATCTCAAATCTCTTTTGCCATGTTATAATGACATAAATACCTATGAACCAGCATGCCAGCTCTCCTTCTATCTTACTACAATAAAGTGTGGGGCCCACTTGATCCCAACGACATTCTTATTTTCCTATAAAATTATTCGCTTGGTTACTCCTGACAAGTGGGGCCACACTTATCATTGTGAGATAGCGAGAACTGACATGTGAGTCTAGGCTTATTTTTGTCATATAACATGGTCAATGAGTTTGATGTGAAAATAACGATGTCTAATGGCATTTTTGAGGAAACATCTAACGAAACGATGGCATTTTTGAGCAAACATCTCACGGATCGATGGCATTTTTGAGTAGTTGTAACTTTTAATGACAAAACTGAGTAGTGGGACACGACTAGTGGCAAAAATGATAAAAACCCTTCAAAAAAATCTCTATCTAATGACTTTTTAGTCATTCATTTTGATCCTAGTAAATGTGTGGGGCTTAGCGATGCAAAAAATAAGGAAATTTGATGACACAAAAGTACAAATACAAGTACAATAACATCCTTTTGCAACACAAACATAAACATTTTTGTGACACCTTAATGGTATCCACCAAACCTTGGTTTATATCCCGACTAATTTTAGAAAGCCCTACTCATGCTAGAGATTAACTATTTAAATTTATTCTCAAAAGTAATATCATTAACAAAAATATTAAAAATTAGTTCTAGTTACATCCTATAAAATTGCTTTGGTTTGTCTTTTTGCCATCGTGGCTCGACAAGGGTAGACATATTTTCCTGAGGCCCCTCCAAGTTGGTATGTAGAACAATTCCACAACTGCATCGTCGCTACTTTTTATGGCCTGCTTTAGAAGCACAATTAGCTATCTTTGTCTTCACCCTTGTCATCGATTTTGACACCTTTACTCATTGTTTCTATTACCCCACCCACTACTTCACAACCAACCTATAGTTGCCACGCCACCGACTGTTACATGAGTAGACACAATATGACAGCAAAAGAGAGACAAATTAAACTAGACCACACAAACGATGGAGGTACGGGATTATATGCAGGGCACCCTTGAGTTTTGATTCACCTAGCAAACTTTGTACGGCACAAGATTTTACTTATATACTAATATCAATCTCGGTTGTTGTACGGCATGGCAGATCTGGAGGATTTGAGCGTTGGGGTTCTACCCTTTCATTTTTCTTCCAAAAATAAAATACAACGGCTACTCATAGATCATAGCAGGACATTGAAACTAATTAATGTTGAGAGGAGAGAATATGGTCCAGCCAAACCCATGGTTCAGTCAATGTGGATTCAGGCCTGAATAACATTCAAATTTCACGGTTTAACTTAATCCTTGTCTTGGCCAGCTTGCTCGTAAGACTAGCCACAATGGGAGTAACTTCAGCAGTAACTTCAAGTCCAACTCAGCAAATTTGTCTATGTGGCAATGAGTTAATGAAGAGAGGTAGTTCTAGTAACTTAGCTAGTTACTGTAACATCACATGTCCCAATGCTATATGAGTCTATAACCTAATAAATGGAGCTTTGCATGACACCACACCTATGTTACTACCCACTATGAAGGTAGTAACATAGTCTAGGGATATGTGTATGTTACTAGTGTATGTTACTCTTCATTGTGGCTAGTCTAAGGGGATGGCTTGGCATGCACAGATCTCAAAAAACGCTGCCCGTTGATGTGTGATTCTTGTTTGAACAGATCAATGCCAAATCAAGCTGACCAACATGAGGTGTTCTCCTACTTCACATTTAGCCATGCATCCCAACTTACAAATAGTCTTCATGTTCCCTATTTCAAGGGTTTCCTCAGCCCGGCCCCATCCGCTTCTGCCCCACTAAATTGGGTCAGTTTCCAACAAAAGAGGGAGCACAAAACAAGCCAGTTGTGCATGTGGGCTGAGGGCGTTGGGGAACCAACCGTTGCAAAAAGGAAGGAGGACCAGTCAACCATGTACATTTATTCCTGATGCTCATGCTTACTCATGCGCAGGGGCAAATTAGTCCCAAAAAAAAAACTAATGCCCTCCTTGGTATGAGGAGAGTTAGGCTGGTCATAGTGGGGAGTAACTTAGACTAGTGTCATATGCATGACACTAGTCTAAGTTACTATTTTTATAGTGCAAAATAACATAGTACTAGTGTCATATGTGCCCTCATTTAATGGCTTGTAGACTCATGTTGTCTTGGAAAGCGTTATGTTGCAGTAACATATTATGTTACTACTTCTGATTAACTACTTGCCACATAAACAAAAAATTCTCGAGGTGCGCTATGTTACTACCTAAGTTACTCCCACTATGACTAGCCTTATGCGCAGAGTAAAAAGAATTGGCGTACACGGAAATTTTAGATTTGGTATGCAACTAGAAATTACGGTTGGTTTTCTATCTCTTTGTGATGATGGTTGCTTTTGATAACCATCCAAAAATATACAAAGCCCTTCATGGCAGGCACGTATGCCATACGGCATCGGAACCATCTACTGTACTTTCGCACATCTACTGTATTCACGGCCTATTTCTACCAACTTGAATCTGTTTGACACAATGTGAGCAATTACAGTGCACAGACGGCCACATCCCTAAGCAGAAACCAGGTTTCCAAGCACAAACCGGACTGGATCGACTAGGAAATCCTTAAACAATCTTGGACCATTACCCTCCAAGCTCGAAACAAAAATAGGACACGAGCACAATCACAGCAGCAGCAGCAGCAGCAAGAACATGAACACAACCATATGACCGTAGCTCTAGAAAAGAACAGATCGAGAGTAGAAAACGAGCGTTACCTGACGGCCGCCTGCTCCGGCGATGAAGGAACGGAGATCGAGTCCTCCTCGCCCGACTCAGAATCGGCACCTCCTCCACCCAAGAACTTCGCCGTATCTTGATACGAGGTACGAACTCGCCTCTGGCCGCTAGGTAAACCCTAGCAAACCCCGCCGCGAAGCAGAGGACGGCGAAGGCTGGGGCTGGCGATAAAGAAGCAGAGAGAAAAAGCAGGCTGCGCAAGCGGAGGCCGGGGCCCTTGTACTTATAGGCGCTGCTGGCCAACGACGCGTGGGGAGGCAGGAGACCGGATTGGAAAAGAATCGGGGAAACACAACTTCCAAGCAAAAGGATCAGGATTACGACGGCTGCCGCGGAAGGCTATCGATCTGTTTCCAGTTATTACGGCGCGGTTTTACCGCCGTGGCCCGTTGGGATTCCGAACGTGAGTCGTGGACGTTTGCGGTTCGCGATATCTGCGGGGTCGTGCAGGGTGAGGGCCGGGAAGAGGAGACGCATGGCTGGCAGGTGGCAGCCGGCCCGGCCCGTTCGTACTATGCAGCACGATGCATCTAATCGGCAGTCTGTCTCGCCTGTTTCTTTTCCTTTTTTTTAAAAAAACTCATCACAGTTTTTATTTAACCCTCCCACTCAGGGATCTCGTCTGAGACAATATGCAAAATAAAATCTGGGGGCACATGCAGCCACGCCTTACATAATTTATTTGACACTGCTTCTCTAGCTAGAGAATGAGCCGCAGTATTGGTCTCACGACGCGCCCAAGAGACTTTCCAACTTACCCTATCAGCCAGCACTTGCTTGACGTCCTCCACAATCGGCCCCAGCGGTGAAAGATCCTTCTCCGTATTTTGAAGTTTACATACGATCTCTTTGCAATCCATATTGATGTAGATCCTAGCAATATTCAGATCATTCGCAAGCTGGGCTGCTCTTTTGCATGCGAGGAGCTCTACCCTCGCTGGGTCACTCCCCACTGGAATGACATGGCACGCTCCGCCCAAGTAAGCACCTTCATGGTTTCTAAAAATCATCCCAGCTCCCCCACTGTCACTCCCCTTCGACATAGCGCCGTCGACATTAACTTTCACCCAGCCTTCCTCCGGGGGCTGCCACCTTTCCTTTACCACCGGCTGGGTCTGCTTGCTTGTACGGCCATGGATGCCCTGCCACTCGCCAATGAGATGAAACACTCTTCGCGCAATCTCCTCTGCTTCTTCAATTCGCTTGTCGTCCTGTGCATTATTTCTTGCAAGCCAGAGCGCATACGTCACTTGTACCATGACCGCTCGCTCATCATTTGACGCCTTCTCGCACCACGAGAGTAACCACCGCGACAACGCACTCTGGGGGGCAGACTGACTCCGGCGGGATTGCCACCGGTACCCCCAACTCCGAATGCATTATCTTCCAGAACTTAGCCGAGTGATAGCAGCCCCAGAACCGGTGATAGATCGTTTCCTCCCTCCCACACGCAATGCAGAAGACGCCCTGCTTAATCTTCCTTCTCAGCAGTTCAGCTCCCACCACCAACCCGTTTCTAATCAGCCGCCACATATGGATCTTTACTTTGCCCGGCGCCACCGTATCCCAAAGGTTCATCCATGCCCTATGGTCCGTCACCGAGGACGATGATTCCGGCCGTCCGAAGCTCACCCTCTTCTGGCTCATCCGTAGGTGGTACGCCGAGCGGACAGAGAAAATACCGTTTTTGTATAGTTCCAAGCCAAGTAGTCATGTA